ATACATTGTGCAGAAAAAAAGAAAATGCTGCTTGGAAATTAGAATAACCGGTAGATGAAGTGCAGGTACTTCTTGATTTACAACCATAGCTGGGACCAGAATTTCTATTGTTAAGCAAAACAACAGTTGTTAAGTGAGTTGCATCTAATTTTGTGACTTTTTTGGGGGGGGCCAGGATTAAGTAAATCACTGCAGTTGTTAAGTGATTCATGTGGTCATTAAGCAAATCCACCTTCTCCCATTGATTTTGCTTGTCAAAAGCCAACTGGGAAGGCTAACAATAGTGATTAGATCACCCTGGGACGCTACAACCATTGTAAATACATACTGGTTCCCAAGTGTCCAAGTTTTGATTGTGTGACTGTGGTAATGCTGCAACAATTGTTAAGTGTAAGGACCATCATAAGTCACTTTTACCAATATCACTGTAACTTCAAACAGTCACTAAACAAATGGTTATTAATCACCTTACTTATAAGGTGTTTTAAGGATTTTGGATAATGTGTTATTTGTCCTAGGCAAGTATGCATAGCTCCATCCAGAGAAAAATGGATTATATTGTGTCTGTGACATTAAAAGGAGTTTTGATTTCACAGGACCCTATAGGATGCTGAATTATCTGGGTTTCCTCTCATAGAAAGCTTGTAGAGAGGGATAAATCATTATCAAAAAAACGATTTCAATCTTTCCTCAGTTTGACTTTAAACAAAATTGCTAGAGAACATAAACAGAACTCAGCGTTGTACTTCAGAATCAAACGACAATTTAAACAAAATTTTGCAATGCAGAATCTTGATAATAGCTTGCAAAAACTAAATGTAGCTTGCCTGTTCCACGTTTGATCATGTCCTACTCATCTTAGGCTGAGGCAAGAATCTTTGGTATTTCAGCAATCTGGATCACTTTCCTTTTCTTGCCAATGAAAACCAAAAGTAAACACGAGTCCTCCTCCAAAAGGCGCTGAAACTTCTCAACAAGCTTATTATCAGAACATGCATTTTCTTATACTTTAAATATTTGGTGGAGAAACAAGTGCTTAGACCTTATGAAAATATATTTTAAAATGTTGGGTCTCTTCCAAAGCAAAGAGTAAGCAAATCAGTAAGAGAAATTAAACACTTTAAAAGATGGAAACTTGAACCTTACCTCAAGTAGGTAAAAAGAGCTATTCATTAAAAAAGTAGGATGTTTGACCTCTAGTAAGATTAGGCCTAATTTTAGGTTGTTTCCTCAAATTAGAACTAATAGCTCTGATTCAACTAAAGCATTCCTTGCAGGAAAAAAGGACCAACTTATTTGTGGAATTGGAACTATTTTTCTTGTTTTCATTGGATTTTACTATTAGTCAAAATGCTGCTGCTTCTACATCTGATGGGAACACAAAGGTAAGGGAGGAAACATAAATTTCTAGAAGAGATCAGCTGAGGGGGGAAGTGTCTGAAAGAGACTCAGATGTTCTCCCTTAAATTACTAGCTATAAGCAGAATTATTTGGAAAGCTTTCAAGATTGTTACATTGCTATACTAGTAATAAAGTTCTTTCCAGAAATCCAAGTCAATCTTTTTGCCTGTGTTTGTCAGTCTTATAAAACTTGACGTCAGATCTGAAAAGTTCTGTCTTTGCTTGGGGTCCCAAAGATGCTTTTTCAAAAGGCAACTGGACTTTGTTTTTCCTTGAAGACATTTCATTTTCCACCCAACAAGAAGCTTCTTCAGAACTTCAAGGAAAAACAAAGTCCAGTTGCCTTTTGAAAGGCTATGACCTATGACAATTATGACCTGGATTACTGAGAATCTCCACAGAATCTCCATAGAATATCTGTATGGACATAGGTGCGAAGACTATTGACTACAAACCTCTCTATAGGTAGTCTTGGAGTTAGGAACAGTTACTTAGCTACTATTGAAAGTTACCATACACCTACCAGGGGGCAGGGGTGAAATCCTACCGGTTCGCATCTGTTCGGGTGAACCGCTAGGGATTATCGGCATCAGTTCACCGAGCCAGTAGTAATTACCCCTCCTTGGCCCCACCCATGCCCGGCCGGTCGCCGCTCACCTCTTCCAGAGGCTCGATATTCCACAGAATTCAATGTTAAATGCCAGCTATATGCCTTGGATGTTTTGGTTTTTTGGTCTATGACCGCAATAAAATATGCTGTTGCTGCAGCAGAGAGAATGCTAACTTTTCTCCCTCCATTTGGAATGGAGCTGCTGCAGCCTGTCTCTTTAAGGTAGTCCCCAGGAGAGAGGGGGCCGGGAGAGAACCATAAAGGGAGCAGCAGCTTCATTCTGAATGGAGGGAGAAAAGTTAGCGTTCTCTCTGCCACAGAATTCAATGTTAAATGCAACAGAGAGAATGTTAACATTTCTCCCTCCATTCAGAACGGAGCTGCTGCAGCCTGTCCCTTTTAAGGTAGTCCCAGGGAGGGAGGGGGATGGGGGGGAGCAGTCGGAATTTTGTGAAAGGCAGGAAAATGGGGAAGGGGATTTTCTTACCTGTCATCCATTCCTCAATCTCAGCACAGACTGAGGGAAGGATGGTAGGCAGGAATATTCCCCTCCCCATTTTCCTGCCATTCGCAACAAGGAGTGGCTGGGAAGCAGTAGTGGGTTGCCCCCGGTTCAGACTGGTTCACAAGAACCGGTAATAAAACCGGTGGGAGGCCCTGCCCACCGCCTTGGATGTCGTCATTGGTGATCTGCATGTGCAAAGCATGCACGCACGATCCCGTTGCAAACTGGTAGAAAAAGTAACTAGAACCCACCCCTGCTGGGAGGGGAGGGGCCAGTGAGGGGCCCCTCGATGTGAGTGATGTCGAGTGGGCCACACCCACCCAGTCACATGACCTCCCCCCAACAAGCCACACCCACAGAACCAGTAGGGGAAATTTTTTAATTTCACCTCTGCCTGGGGGCCATTTACAACCTGGATGGTCCAACTCCCACTACAGGGATATGACTGAACTTTGGCAACCAGGCCACTTCTATGGTCTTTTGCAGTGTCCTATGGTCACATGACCGCATTTTATGATGGTTGAAAACCAGCATTAACTTCTGGCTTTCCACAAATCCGCACCCTTAGCCAACCATTGATTTGCTTAATGACCATGGCATTTGGTTAATAACAGCCACAAAAAATGTCATAAAATCTGTACCTGAATAGCTGTGAAGGGATAGACATATATGGCTAATATCTTTATGTACCATACTAAAATGCAACAATTATTTAACCATCTTCAAAAAATACAAAGCTTTCATGAATGAGCAATAAACACACACACACCCCACCGAAAAAAATAAAAAATAAAAAATGCCACAACACATAAATATTGGTTCAACTGTTACCCATCTTTCCTGTACTTTGTTATCCGGTATCTCTAGTCCTGCAGAAAAATCAGGTGGAACAATGGCTGATGATTTCTTTCTATTGGTCCACGATAGAAAGTGTCCTCAAATACTGTATAACAGTATGGTATGCTGGTTTAACAGCCGCAGACAGGAAGGCACTACAGAGTGATTAATTCAGCACAAAAACCCTGTGGTTGTCTCTGGCACCACTGGATGACAACGTCAGGTCTCGCTATTTCAGCAGAGTAAGGAAAATACTTTGAGATGATTCACACCCCGGCCAGTGTCTCTTCGCACTTTTACCATTGGGCAGAAGACACAGAAGTATAGCCAGTCTGATGAACAGGTTTAAAAACAGCTTCTACCCATGGGCCGTCAGACTCCTAAACACAATCACAATCACTCCACGCACATATGAATATGTATGACTAGTTTTTTTCTTTCCCCAATTACTTGTATAAATTGGGAACTGTATTGTCTTGTATTTTCTGTTATGGATTGCACCAGTAAAAGCTAAACCAATTTCGTTATATACATGATGTACAGTGACAATAAAGACAATATACACAGCAAATGAGATAACCATGCTGGATTTCGTATCCCAAATCACTAGTCGAACACTTCCCAAGCGTTTAGGACTATGTGATGTATCGGCGGATTATGCGAGCAGATCCCAGTTAAGGTAGCTTTCTTCAGCTGACCAATGGTGATCTTGTCAGCGCCAATTGTTTTTAAGTGCTTGCCTAGGTCTTTCAGCACAGCACCTAGTGTGCCGAGTACCACTGGAACCACCTGCACTAGTTTATGCCAGAGTCTCTGCAGTTCGATTCTCAAGTCCTGATATCTGGTGACTTTTTCAAGTTGTTTCTCGTCAATTCTGCTGTCACCAGGTATGGCAATGTCGATGATCCACACATTTTTCTTCTCCACAATCGTGATATCCGGGGTATTGTGTTCCAAAACTTTGTCAGTCTGTATTCAGAAGTCCCACAGTAGTTTTGCATGCTCATTTTCAACCACTTTTTCAGGCTTATGATCCCACCAGTTCTTTGTTACAGGCAGATGGTAGTTGTGACACAAGTTCCAGTGGACCATCTGAGCGACTGTGTTATGATGTTGTTTGTAGTCAGTCTGAGCTATTGTCTTGCAACCACTCAGTATATGATCAATGGTTTCGTCCGCTTCTTTGCAGAGTCTGCATTTGGGGTCATCAGCAGATTTTTCTGTTCTGGTTTTGATTACATTCATTCTGATGGCTTGTTCCTGGGCTGCAAGAATCAAGCCTTCTGTTTCTTTCTTCAGTGTTCCGTTGGTCAGCCATAGCCAGGTCTTTTCCTTATCTACTTTTCCTTGGATCTTCTCAAGGAACTGTCCATGCAGTGCTTTGTTACACCAGCTGTCAGCCCGAGTTTGCATCACTGTTTTCCTATATTGAGTCTTGATTTGCTGCACTTTGAGCAGCTTCCTCTTGCTGACCTCCATCAAAGCTGGTTCAACATTGTCTTTCACATAGTCTGCCAGAGCATGCTTCTCTTCTTCGACTGTCTGCTTCACTTGCAGAAGTCCTCTGCCACCTGCTTTTCTGGGCAAATATAGCCTGTCGACTAATAAAGACAATAATAATAATAATAATAATAATAATAATAATAATAATAATAATAGTTTACTTTATTCATTAAACATGAAACTCAGTCAACTGAACATTCAAAAATGCATCATAAATACCATTGACTGGTGCTAATGGTTGATACAGGTTGCTGCCAGAGTCCTAGGTATCAACCAAGTACCTTCTTAAGATGTACGATCTTCTGAGTAGTGCAATTTTTGCAGTTCCGCTGGTGTTATTGCAGGAAGCTGCAATTGGTTGATGTATTTTATAAAATTCTTGGACATGGTACCAAGTGTCCCGATGACAATGGGTATCACTGTTACATGTTTCATCCATAATCGAATAATTTTGATAGCCAGGTCGCGATATTTTGTGATTTTTTCCAGTTCTTTTTCTTCAACTCTGGCATCTCCTGGTACTGCAATATCAATAAAATATTATTATTATTATTAATATTCCAGCAAAGTTTAGTTTAATTTGACTAAGCAACATTCCATTGATTGTATGTGAATGTCATAATATGACAAATTAAACATGTATGATGCCTCACGAATGTGATTCAGTATAAATTTTCCATATTTGTAGCAGTTAAAGGATTTACTTTAACCCAGCACTTTCTGTTTTTTTTCAAAGGGATTTAAATCCATATTTAGGGCCAAACAACCATAAAATGTTCTCCCACTTGTAGAGGCCTGGATGTTCAATACTAGAGATATTACCATATAAAGCAATAGAATCCCTTGCAATGTGTAATTGTATATACATGGTAAAATGCTGTTATTTCAGATTGTGACTACCCTTTAAGGGAAGATGCTGCCAATGCCCCAATAGGCAACAGTATGCTTTCATTCCACAAATTAACAGCAGGGACAGATGTTCAAGTGATAGCCTTGAGTAAAATAAACAATAAAAGGTGCACAATTTCTGGGGCAATTTGGTCCAATGTTTCTTTAACAGATGAGAGGGCTACCCTTTCTTTTTAATGCTCTTGCAGCAGACTTCAATCTCAACCAGTGCTGAATAAAAAGTCTTTTCATTGTAAACAGCCTTTTAAGACATTTAACTTTGCATTCCTATGTTTAAATTTGATTACCTTAGATTGGGTCCATACAGCTGCCTTGCCATGCTCCTTTCCCATGCCAAAGCAGTCAGGATATCACACTGCCCCATGTGTCTTTACTATAATCCAGAGCAGATCCTCAATGGCTGCTAGTCTTACAGCTTTAATGGACAGGTTATTTTAATAGGAAGGGATAGAAGAGAACCACCAAACATCAATCAAAAAGTCGGTTTCAGGTAGCTTGAAAAGAGTTTTAGTTACTGCATCCATGGTTTCTTTCTTTCCCACTAATAGTGTTTAAGTCTCCTAAATTCCTTATAACTCAAAGTCTATTGGTCCATTATTCTGCTACTGGATGTCAGCAGATATGCACAGCTAATATGCATCCACTGAATAAGTGTTGTTCAAAATCTGGAGTTGGAGAAAGATTTTGATGTGGGGAATCAACAGGAGAGCTGTAAACAATTACAAAGGGACAAAGTGAGCAGCCAAAGACTCCCTGAGGGCTGTGACTATTGGGAAAAGCAATCCCTGTACACAAGCTTCAAAACTGCAAGAGCTCAGCAATTAGTTTTAGTTACAGCTTTTAAGTTGGACCTGGGCTAGTCAATTTCAGAAATAAGAAGGTCTACAGAAACAAAAGTAATGCTTGAAAACAGGCACGGAGACCCAGAACTAGACCAAAGAGCCAGTCCAACAGCATATTTAGAGGTAAGCAGATCACCACTGACGATGTTAGCTCAATCTCCCTTCACATACTTGGCGATTTCTCCCTTGGATACAAGGGAACACATTACTTTAGAACTGAGCCCCCACAGTTGATAACAATATATGCATGAGCAGGTCATCTGAAAAACTAATCACATGTCTTTGCACCAAGGCAAGGGCAGTACTATAGAGTGCCTTCAAAGGGCATTTTCCACTATACTGAGTACCTCAGCTGATTTTTAACAGGTGAACATTCAAAGTTACGTCTTTAACTGATTCTGAATAGAAGTGCTTGACTTTCTGGCAAAGCTGGAAATTAGCCTATTTATTTCAGTTAGTAACCTAATGTTGTGACATTTAATGCAGCCTTTCCCATCCTCTTATTCTCACATATTACAATTCTCAAGAACGAGTGATATACATAATGACAGGGATAGCAAATGCTAGTCTAACTTCAAAAACAGACAAATAAAAAAAAGGAATACAGGTAGTCCCTTGACTTACAACTGCATAAAAAAAAAAGATTTACGATCAGTCCCTACACTTATAACCATTGCAGCATCCTCATGGCCATGTGATTATACTTTGTGTGTTTGCAATCAGCATATATTTACAACACATCGAGCATCCCAGGGTTACACGATTGCCATTTGTGGCCTTCCTGGGCAGTTTCTGACAAGCAAAGTCAATGGGAAAAACAGAATTCCCTTAACACCCATTATGAATCACATATAAAGTGCAATTATTTGCTTAATCATTGTGTCAGCTTTGGAAGCCATATTAACACCAGAAGCTTCCACGCTGCTTTTAAACCTTTAAAAAAAGTTTGTGAAATGAGGTGGTACTCACTTAAAAACCATCTTATCAATGGAAACCCTATTACCGTGTTTCCCTGAAAATAAGACCCTGCCTTATATTTTTTTGAACCCTGAAATAAGCACTTGGCCTTATTGCCATGCGCTCAAAAACCCGATTCATTTTGGGGGGAAACAGGGTACCAATTATGGTCATAAGCTGAGGGCTACCTGAATCCAGCAACTTACAAGTACCTGGCATGAAGGCAGGGTATTTGAGGGTCCATTTCACTCCAATCACATCAACCTGTCTTAGCTGGTCTGCCTGCTAAGGGCAGATTGCATGGTATGGGTCCTGTCCAGAAAAGAAAGATATCTGATGAGCGTCAGAAGACCTTTTTCTGCTGAGTCACCTGCCCTCAGAGGGGAGAGTGGCTCGAACCGTCTTGATCTTCTGGAAGAGCCCAGGGATCCAGTGACGTGCTAAATTTGCTAAGTAGTTGTACTTTCAAGAAACAAATGGTGTTCCACTGCTGAATTATTTTTAATAGTTTTGATAGATTTTATTGCTTTTAATAAGGTTGTTACTTTTTGGTTGGATTTTTGCATCGTTTTCTGGATTTTTTAAATTTGCAACACAGAGTCACTGTAGCTGAGATAGGTGGCTATATAAATTGAAGGAATGAATCAATGACCTGGAAGAAAGAATCCCGATTTGCTTTGTTTTCCAAAAAACCAAAAGATCCAGAATCATGATCAAGCTACTGCAAACTCTTAACATTGGAAAAAGAAAACTTCTCACCTGTAGGAGTTCAACATTGGAAGTAATTCTTAAAAAGAAACAAAATTCTCTCTTCTCTGGATGTGCTTAAGCAGAGCTGGACACTGTGTCCAGCTCTGCTTAAGCACATCCCAAGAAGGAAGGTCTTAATTTGGATCACCTGGATTTAATAGAGGTCGGAGGGCTACACAGCTTTTCCAACTCTTTATTTTCACTACATATTTGCATTTGGATAAAAACTGCTGGGGAAATCAGGGGAAAAGGAAAAGTGGAATGATTCAGTCCTCAGGGACAGACATTTTGGCCAGTGTACTGGGTATTTCTTTGCAATGTGCCCATTGGCAGGAGGCAGGATACTGGGACAAAGACCAACCTCTTTTCTCCCCCAAAGTGGAGCAATGCTGGCAGGGGAAAGAAGCAGATCATAGGGTAGGTGGGTCATTCTCATTGTATGCATAAATAAAACCACAACATCCTTGCAGATAATGACAAAAAACTCCTAGGCTGTCTGGTATGCATAATAGGTTCTCCTGGTATCCTGAAGTTCTCCTTGTGCAGGCTGTGGGCAAAAAAGTCAGAATGCATTTTGGGCCACAATTTGCAGACACCCATATTTCTTGGGAAAATATATTCCTAAATTCTCCCAGAAAACACACACCGGAAACAATCTCTCACCCCGTCTCTCTTGTCCAGCATGGCTCCAAACTCCTTACCATACAGGTAGTCCTCGACTTACTACAGTTCATTTAGTGACGGTTCAAAATGACAACAGAACAGAAAAGAGTAATTTATGACTGCTTTTCACACTTACAACCGTCACACCATCCCCATTGTCATGTTATCGAAATTCGGATGCTTGGCAACCGACTCATATTCATGACAGTCACAGGATCCTTTTTTGCGACCTTCTGACAAGCAAAGTCAACGGGCAAGCCGGATTCACTTAACAATCTTGTCACTCACTTAACAACTGTGGTGATTAATTGTGGCAAAGAAAGGTAGCAAAACTCATTTAACTAATGTCTCGCTGAACAACAGAGATTATAGGCATGACCCTTGCGGTCATAGGTTGAGGACTACCTGTAACCCTCATCCTCTCCCAGCAAAGCCACTAGCGATGATGGCTGATGGGAGTTGTGATACAAACGGCTCCAGTGGCGGTTAAAAAAAAAAAGGCCAGGAAGACCTTTTTCTGGAGTGCCTTCCCACCTATTCTACCTCACGGGGTTCTCGCAGCCACCTTCCAATATTTGAAGGGCTGCCATAGAAAGGACAGGGGTGGGGAGTGGGGGTCAAGCTATTTTCCAAAGCACCCAAAGGCCAAACAAGGAATAATGGATGGAAACCGATCAAGGAGAGAGTCAACCTAGAAATAAGGAGAAATTTCCTGACAGTGAGAACAATCAACCAAATGGAACATAAATTGCCTTCGGAGGTTGTGGGAGCTCCATCACTGGAGGCTTTGAAGAAGAGACTGGACTGTCATCTGTCAGAAATGGTGTAGGGTCTCCTGCTTGGCCCTGGAGAGGGGGGTTGGACTAGATGACCTACAAGGTCCCTTCCAGCTCTGTTAACCTGAAAGCAGCGGCGACGTGACTAGGAGGAGGAGGAGCCAACGGTAAAGGAGGGCGGGTGGAAACCTGGGAGGGGGGAGAGCCGGGGCTGTATGAGAAAAGGCACGCGGACACCCCCTACGTGGGCCCCGCTAAGGGCGCCACCACAACACGCCCCCCCCCCCCCCCCGCTAGAAATTGGGACGTTCCATCCCGCCACGCGCCTCCTCCCTCCCTCCCCCCTCACCCGCCCGTTGCTTTTGCTGGCTCTCTCCTTCCCGCCCTGTCAGTTGAGGGAAGAGCGGGTGGTGTGTCCCTCACGTCATATGGCCCGCCTGGCTCCCATTGGCTGGCTGCCCTCACCAGACTGCAATGCTGTTCCCGGGACTGCTCGGCAGCCCCGCCTACTCCCTCCTCCCCTCGCCCCCTCCCCCTCCTCTCTGACGCGTCAGCCTCAGCAGAAACGGCCCCGCTGGAGGGGCGGAGGCGCGCCGCGCGAAAGTGCCTCGCGCCGCGGCGCTCGCGCCTTTATAAGCCGGCCGGGCGCGTGTGCGTGAGGGGGCCGATTGAGAGGGACGCCGCCGCAGCCGCCACCGCCACCACAGCCACCACAGCCAGAGTCCCAGCAGGTAGGGGCAGGGGTGGAACGGCTGTATTGGGGAGTGTGTGTGTGTGTGTGTGTCTCTTTAAGGGGCGCCCCCCCCCCAAAACGGTACCTGCTTCGTGGAAGACGGGCAGTTAGCGGTCACCCGAGACTCCACAATTGGAGGCAGTCTACCTGAGGGTAGCGGGCGGAGGGGGAGGAACCTCGGTGGTCCCCGCGTCCTACCTGGTGGGTCTTAAGAGCCCCTCGCCCTCCAATCTGCTAAGGGGAGAGGGAGGGTGGGTGGGTGGGAGATCTGCCTTTTCTAGCCTTTTGCAGCAAATCCGTCTCCTCCAACTGGGCGCCCTCCAGATGCACCCTCCAGAAAAGAGGGGTGTTGTCTTTTTCTAACTGACTACCGGTTGGGGGAAAAAAAAAACTTAATTTGTAAAAAAATAAAATAAAAATAAAATCCAGTTGGGCTTTGCTGGGGGTGGGGGGGGGGGTGAGAGATGGACCTTTGGGTTGGGTTCACTTAGTGGTTCTTTGTAAATGCTTTCTGCTTTTTATATATCACACACACACACACACACACACACACACACACACTTGCATTGCAATAGGTAGGTGGGTGGGTTGAGCGCCCCACGTCCAACATCATGCATGGTTTGCATTTTGTCTTATATTCTCTGAAGGATTGCTTGCAGGCAGCAGTGGCAGGGCTTAGTGGTTAAGAGCCTGGGGACGAAGAAAAATGACATTAGGAGCGTTAAGCTTCCTTCAAATCTTTGCAGTTAAATGCTGGAGGGAGAAGAGGCCAATTTGTAAGTCTTTAGGCCGCACCTAAAAGTAGAAAATGTAAGCAGTCCAGGGAGTCAAGCTTCACTTCTTGTGACTTCGTGTCATTTTTTTCTTTCTTTCTGCCAAGGATCTGGAAATGGCTTGCCATTGCCTTCCAGAATATTGATTCAGCTTCCCAAGCTGGCCTTCCTCCTTAGTTTCTCCTGGTGGTCTCATATCTAACTATGAAGACTGAGCCTGCTTAGCTTTTTCCAAAGTTTGAAGTCACATGCTTAGGCTGGTGAAATCTTGAGAAAGCACAGCTGGTCTGAGCTGGAGACTTGTTTTAGTCACCCCTCTTATCTGATAGGAGAATAGTCAGATGTCAGACTGGTGGTTCTGTCCCTACAGCAGAAGGGATTCTGTGACCAGATACAGTGGCCTTCAGGAACATCTCCCAAGAGGCAGTCTTTTTCCTGAATATTAGCATTCTTGTAGCACCAAATAGACAAAACTAGTCTGGCATCTTATTACAGTTTGCCCTATTTTGAAGAGGGGAAAAAAGAGCACTTCAATAATCTACATGAAGCAAGAACGTTTAGATTATAGGCTCTAGCTGTTTGAAAACAGGCTTTTGAAAAGAAACTACCAAACTATTTGTCCAGAATGGTATAGTGTATCCTGCTTGAGCAAGGGGTTTAGACTAGAAGACCTCCAAGATTCCTTCCAACGCTATTATTCTCTATTCTGTTACATAAATATGCCATGTCACTGGTATTGGGGCAATTTAATGCTGCATTTCATACTGGGTTAAGCTTGAAGGGTCTATACCAGCATCCAATCTTGGCAGCTTTAAGACGTGTGGACCTCAGCTCCCAGAATTCCCCGGCCAGCATTCTTGGCTGAGGAATTCTGAGAGTTGAAATCCACAATAAGTAAAGTTGCCAAATTTGAAGATCCCTGGTCTATACATATAAAAATCAGAATTGTGCATGCATTTCATAGAAATTAAATCCTGAAGAGCCGGGACAAAGTATCTAGAGACCATGGGCAGCCAAGGAAATAAATGTTGACCATAGAATAAATTGTCCAGAATTTTCACTGGAGGCAAAAATGCCCAAGGTCAAATTATCATGTTTTGCACACATAATGTGAAGATCCAGATCACTCAAGAAGTCTACAATGCTGGGAAAGGAAGGTGGAAGGAAAAAGAAGAGGGCAATTGGTAACAAGATGGATGAGTGCACCTGAAGGACCAGGTTTGGAATGGGTGTTCCTGGAGAAGATCTACTTATGTAGTCACCAACTTGTTGGCATTTAGTCAGTTAGTCAAAAGTTTAAAGGACTATGGTTTATTCCTAGAAAATTCTTACTGTTTTAACATCATGGTATATAATACTTTATATTTTATGCTGATGTTTGTGTTTGGAATTCTAGATAAAACTCTCCAGTACAATCTGTGGAATTACATACACCTTGAAGCAGTGTAAATATTTAAGCTAATAATGGTTTTATCTTGTGGTTGTTCTAAAAGTTCAAAGCAAGTTTCTTTTGGCAGCAACTTTGTGCGATAAGAAAGTCAGGTGACTTCATAAATATGTTTGGCTAAGTAGCAATTTAATCGAGCCTCTAATTCTCTAGCCGGGTAATAAGACCCAGAATTATTGCCTCAGTTTCACTATAAAGTACTTTACATCCTTAATTCTTACAACAATGTAGTTAGATAGGCCAAGACCTGAGATGGGGAGAACTTTTTAAAATTAAAGATAAGGAGAAAATTCCTTCCTTAAGGTCGTTTTCTTTGGTCCTATATTAATGCTTTCAGGGGAATAACAAAATAAAGGAAGGGAGGTCTAGTCCAACCCCCTGCTTAGGCAGGAAACCCCATACCATTTCAGAGAAATGGTTATCCAATCTTTTCCTAAAAATTTCCAGGATTGGAGCATTTACAACTTATGGAAGCAAGGTGTTCCACTGATTAATTGTTCTGTCAGGAAATTTTTCCTTAGTTTCCACCCATTGCTTCTTGACTCTGCCTTCAGGTGCTTTGGAGAACAGGTTGACATCCTCGTTTTCGTAGCTCTTCAAATATTAGAATAGTGTTATCATGTCATCCCTAGTCCTCCTTTTCATTAAACTAGACATACCCAATCCCAGCAACCGTTTTTTACATGTTTACTCCTCCAGTCCCCTAATAATCTTTGTGGCTCTTCTCTCCACTCTTTCTAAAGTCTCAACGTCCTTTTTACATTGTGGCGACTATGTAATACAGTATTACATGTGTGGTCTTACCAAGGCATTATAAAGTGCTATTGAATTCCACATTATAATGGGGTTAATTAGAGAAGTATAAGGAGAAATTTTTATAGAGATAAAAACATACAGCACATAACGTATTGAGAGCTTTCTGAGTATTCTGTATTCCATAAGACCTTCATGTCTCTTTCAGGAACCTGATGGAGAAACCTGTACCTCAACTTGAGAATCATACCTGGAGTTGCTCCTGTACAGCCAGGGGAAGATACAAGGATCACCTAGGTAGAAGTGCAACAGGGCTAGCAGCCAGAGTGGGTGAAATGCTAACCTCATCTGTGTCCAGTTCTCCCCTGACCTTAGTGGGTCATGCAGCCCGGCACCCAAGCAGCCCAAACAGAGGCAGTGTCCCTGGTAGCAGCTTGAACTTAAGCAGAGACTTACTGCAGCGCAGCCTGGTGCTTTTTGCTGTGGGCACTTTCCTTGCACTGGTGCTAAACTTACTGCAGATTCAGAGGAATGTAACCCTGTTCCCTGAGGAAGTCATCTCTACAATCTTCTCTTCTGCCTGGTGGGTACCCCCTTGCTGTGGGACAGCAGCAGGTAAGTGGAAAGCTTTTTAAAGAAGGTGGTGGGATTTCCAATTGTTGTGTCTTCAAGATGGGTTGAAGGATGTTTGTTCATTGCCCAGAGTGGTGTGTGCTATTTAACCAAACAGGTGCCCAGAGTGGCATTTAGGAGCTTATATATATTGATGATATTTGATAAGACTGTATTTGACTGCACAAGGAGAACATTGGGATTAGATGTAAGAAAATAACACCTTTAGCAGCACTGTGTGCTTCCTCCTTCCTTCTAAAGGCTTTGTTGTGAGTTTGGCATTATTTTTCACTCTGGAAAGCAGAAGAGTTTCCTCTAGCTATTATTGCTTGGCAAGTTTTTAATCCAGGAGCTGGCATGATTCATCATTACTCTTGGCCATATAATTGGCTCACTGTAGAAACTGGTGAGTCGCGTGCTCCCGTTCCTATTGGTTCTCAGTCTGAACATGCCACATACTCAATCAAAAACAAGGAAGTCACATGTTGTGACAGAAGAGAGGAACTGAGACTGGCTTAGTGCCTATTTTAAGAGCAGCTTCAGTTCCTAGCAAGATGATCATAGAAAATGACCTTTTTTTTATTTGCAAAGTACACATTAAAGTTCAAAGTTGAATTACTATAATTCCTTTTCAATTAGGTAAGCTAGTCCCTTTTGATAATTATTTCAAAATGGTATTTTCAGGCATTGGCTTCCAAATTACAGTATTTAATAGAGCTGCTGTTGACAGAAGATTGGACATAGCTTTGGCCCCAGAGCCATTTATGGCATCAGACTTAACATCTATTCTCTGCAGGTCAAGTTGGGAAAAAGGAACTAGCTTTTATTTCAAAAAAATAGGTGGATTTTTTTTACCACCTATAAACTGTAAAATATATCAGGCAAAAGAGAGCATAGACATAATTAATTGTTTCATTGAACTTAATATGGTTGGCATGGAGACGTCCTGGGCATTGCCACTTAGTTATTGTGCTGATCTGAAAAATACTTGACATGATTTTTCCATAGGGGAAAAGTGTATTTCTATATTTTATAATAGCTTAAATCACAGACTTTGAGGATTAGAGAGACTTTCTTATAAATTACTATTGAATACAGTAAGTATTTGTAAAAATAATTGTTGATTGTTTCAGAGGCAGCCTGCTTCAGCATTAAACTAATCTGGCTTCCCTCATTTATTTATTTATTTTAATTGTCAAACACCCCCCCCCCCCAAAAAAGTCATAAATGGTGATCATGTGACCCTGGGATGCTGCAACTGTCAAAAAAATGTGTTGGTTTCCAAATGCCCAATTTTGATTGTGTAACCGTAGGGGGTTTTGCAGTGTCATAAGTGCAAGGACTCATCATAACTTCAAACAATTTTTAAGTGAATGTTGACAGCTACCTGTAATCTTCAGTAGCTCAGAAAATGAAAAGTGGGCTTTGCTGGTTGTTGGGGAGAGGAAAATGAATAACTAACAGAACAACTGATTTCAGCATCTCTTCTATTATTATTCTATTCTATTTTCCTTTTACAGCTGTTATTGGCCTGCTGTATCCCTGCATTGACAGCCATCTTGGTGAACCTCACAAATTCAAACGAGAATGGGCAAGTGTAATGCGATGTATTGCCGTCTTCGTTGGCATTAACCATGCAAGTGCTGTATCCTTGAAAAAAAAAAGGCTTAACGTTGCCTAGTATTTTTCCCATCATTACTGAACCAACTTCAATTGTTTTGAGTAATTATGTTTCACAAATCAGTGCCTTGTGCTATCTATACTTTAGAGCAGAGTTTCTCAATCTTAGAAATCCCTGGACTTCATATCTCCCAGAATTCTCCAGCCAGAATTTGTGAATTGAAGCCCATATAACTTTAAAAGTTCCTGAAGTTGGGAAATTTTGCTCTGCTTAAAGTTTATTGTTTCTCTGTTTTGTCCTGAAGAATCTAAACAAAAACTGCTGGAGCTGGCAAAAAAAACCCCACTCACTCTTATTTATTTATATTCCACCTTTATGCCTATGGAGATTCTCAGTCATCCAGGTCATGGTTGTCCCAAAGGTGCTTTTTCAAGAGGCAACTGGACTTTCGTTGTTTTTCTTTGAAGACATTTTGCTTCTCATCCAAGAAGTTTCTTAGATGAGAAGTGAAGCATCTTCAAAGAAAAACCAGAAAGCCCAGTTGTTTCTTGAAAAAGCACCTTTAGGACATTCCACCATTATTAATATTATAAATAATCCAAGGCAGTGCATATACACTCTTTCCTACTCCTACTTTCCCCTAACAACAATCCTGTGAGGTGAGTTCAGCTGAGAGGGAGGGCCTGGTCCAAAGTCACCCAGCTGGCTTTCATGTCTGAGGCAGGACTAAAGACATTCAACCACTTTTCATAGTTTAGGTGTGACTAGAACTCAACAGTCTCCTGGTTTCTAGCCTGGTGCCTCAACGATATGGCATGAGGGCTGGCTTGCTTGCTTGATTCCATTCTATTGTCGGCAGAGATACTGACTATGAGCTGAAGGATTTTTATATTCCCTTTCTAGCTTCCAAAGACTTGGCCACAGTTTTATCTAATACCTAAACAATTCATGCCAACTAACTTAAATAGCAAAGTGAGACACTCCCTTCGGTATCTCTTCAGTTGCAGAGCATAGGGCATTGCTTAGGTATTAAGAAGAAAAATTTATTGAAAATGTAGCAAATTGTGAGCACAGGAATTACTTCTTTTTACACTAAAAAAAACCCCACAGTAGGCCTATAATTCTTGTAGTCACTTTACAGAATTGGAGATTTATTTAACAATCTATTGTCCTCCAGAAGCATTCATACAATACATTGTTTTAAGATAAATGTGGCAGTTCAGCCTGCCTAATTGTGAAAATAATAAGCAATTTATTTTTCTTTGCTGTGTTATAACTTCTCCCTCAGGATATGCTTTAAATCTTATTTCATGAAATTTAATGTCTCCTTAAAGAGAGTTTAGAAAATACATAGAAAAGATTGCCCCCTGCAGGTTGAGATGCTCATCTGAAAACAGGAAGATTTGCAGGAAAATGATCTCTCAAATACACTCTTCCTACTACTTGTACTTTCTATAAATTGATCTCCGCACGTGCATTTTATGGATAAGATATAAAGATAATAGTAGGAGAAGTAAAGAACCTGTCAAAAGTGAAAAGGATGAAAAGGTGGGATACTTGGATAAATGTTAAGACTTGTGTGGAGCAAGAAATTTGCCAGACTATCAAATTTCCTTAGCTTGCTTTTTAGAAATTGGATTTTGCAAACAACATCCAGCTTTCCCTGACCCTTGCAGCTTTGTCACTGGGCCTCTGGTGGACATTTGATCGTTCAAGAAGCGGTCTTGGTCTTGGGATCACAATTGCTTTTGTAGCTACTCTGATTACACAGTTTCTGGTTTATAATGGAGTTTATCAGTAAGTACCCTTGCATGCCCTTCTTTCTAATTGTTCAACCTTTTTTTAAAAGGCACGAATTATGCCTGTACTCATTTCAGTTTACTATAATTGCTACCTCCTATTTTCTCTACACCAAACTAGTTCTTCAAATATTGATGGCTATTCTGTTAAAGAAGGAAATGTCTGTCCTAACTTAATAATACAGCTTTGTTTCTATGTGCACAATCAGAATTTAACTGTGTAACATGGGCAATAGTTTTAGATTTAGTAATATGTACAGTTAAGACTGGAACTGGGCACAAAGGGGGTATTTTTCCCCCTCTTGTCCCTTTGCCTAAAACCAGCCTTTCATTAAAACATTAGCCAAGAGTTATAGGCCCTGTAAAGTTGCAGACAAGCAAGTGAATGAGAAAGTATTGAGTGACTGTTACGTTCCTCTTCTGTACTGTGCATATAAGCCAAAGAGTATGTTAGAGGAGGCCTGTGTTACTTCTAAACCATTGTAACTTGCATGGACTTAACTTACAAAGCTACATAATAATTTTTCTTAATTTTTTTAAAAAAAATCTTCCCTTTCTTAGTACAAGGGAATGCATTCAAAGTATTCTCTATAAATACGCATGTTTACATTCATTTTATTTATTAAATTTATATGCCACCTGTCTTGTTATCTAGAATGACTCTGGAATTTACGGTGGCATAGAAATGCAAATATAAAAGTATTAACTTTAACAGTTTTAAATATATCTGTATACATATTTGGTACTTCCAATAAGAAAATCTTGAATTCCTTATGCTTTCCCTATTTCCAGCAAGGTGAAATGTCCAGAGCAGTTTTGATGAGATGCTAAAAACTACAAATAATCCTTGATTTTTTTCCCCTCTCCTTTCCTTTAGGTATACATCTCCAGATTTCCTTTATATCCGGTCTTGGCTACCATGTATATTTTTCTCAGGAGGTGTGACTGTAGGAAACATAGGACGACAACTTGCTATGGTAATTATATATCTCTGCTGGGTTTTTAAAGTGAAAAGTGCATCTTCAGCTGATAAAACCATAATTATTACCTATGGATGTAATAAGTAATGATGCCTGTTCATAATGACAGGTATTCTAAAGCAGTGTAAACATATATCATCCTAGGCAGTCTGCAGACATGTTTATTGCTAAGCCCTTATGTTTTTTCAATAAATGTAAATGAAGTAAGACAGAAAATGCCTAAGTATGATTTGAATATTGAAATGGCTATGCCATTCAATCTCAGGAAATGCCTCGGAAAACTTGCATTCTCTATGTAAGGAATGATTGGTTTTACTAAGAATGTGTGGCCTCAACCTTCTTAAATGCCTTGGTTCTTCCACCTATCTACAACTGGCATAACAAATGTGCAGAACCCCATCCTTGTCTGAGGTTCAAGATAGTTCTGCCAGCAGCCTTGTTAATGAAGAGACTTCAGGTAAATAAAATGTATTGAAAAACAGGTTGGAAAAAAAGGTTTTTTTTCTAAACATCTCACCCATCAAGTAGGCGAGCTTAATAACAGCTTCCAGATATTAGGCTTACTGCTTTTATTGGTGATTGGAAGTCTCTTACAAACATTTTGCATAAAAATGAAAGAAATCTGTGATGTATGGGTTTGATAATATATTTTATAGAAAGAAGACTAATATGTAACTTTAGACAGGCAGGTCAAAACATCTGTTCATAAGTGCAGATTTCCCTTGTGCTTTTTCCTTGATTCCTTTCTTTTTCTTCCTTAGTTTATATTAGTTTGTGCCAGTTTTTAATCATCTTGTTTAAAGTAACAAAAGCTGCTTTTCCCACTGCAGAAGGAGTATCATTTGTTTTATTTATTGTTTATTAAATTTATTTATATAAACGCCCAACTCATACCCAGTGACTCTAGGCAACGTGTACAGCATTAAAAGTCAACTATATAAAACCCCCGGAATCTCCCACACCTCCCGCATGGCAATGACAAGTACAATTATACAACCCGTTTGACTGTTTCTGATTCAGTCTGAGGTCCCCAGGCCCACTGACAGAATCACATCTTCAAGGCCTTCCAGAAAAGTAGCAAGGAGAGAGCCAACCTGATTTCCAGGGTGATGATATTCCAAAGGGAAGGAGCCACCACAGTGAAGGCCCTTCTTCTAGAACCCTTCAGGTATACTCTTTAAAAGACCCACAACCTTCCCTGTCTGGTTGGCCAGGTAGATATAACTGGGGACAAGTGGTCCTTCAAATATGCTGGCCCCATGCCATGTAGGGCTTTGTTGCGTTTCCATCTATTATGCTGTCCAAAACAGAAAGGACCTGTATGCTCCCTTAGTATGCTTATTCTGGGATCCAAGCCTCATTTGACCTACAGTCCGATGTGTGATGTGCCCAATTTTGACCTTTGATCCAATTTCCAGAAACAAACAGGGTAGTTACCATTGGGCGGTGGCTGAAAGCAAAAAGATGCTTCATTGGATTACAACACTACATTGCAGGCCTGCTCATCTCCTTCCCTTTACTTGCTTTTTAAGTGGTAATTATTTCAATGATTACAAAATTCTTATCTTGTTTCGTGAAAGGAGTTACCTGAAAGAGGTTCCTGGGTGACATACTAGATGGTTCTCTAGCGTTTCAGTAATAGCATTTTGGAATCTAAGCTTTTACACAGCTTCCCTAATTTCAAAGAAGACAGATTTCAATGGAATCTTTTTTTAAAGTACAGTAATTTTTGGCTTTGTCCACAGGGTGTTCCCGAGAAGCCTCACAGTGACTAAATAACCGGATTTGACCTGTATTTGTGAAAGCAGAATAAGGATCAGTTGAAGCTAGGATTTTTCGTCTTGAATTACCAGCATGAGCTCCCTAAATCTGGGAAGGAATGAACTCACCATAAAGTGGCCAAGAGGTTACCTTGATTTATTTCTAAGAAGTTTCTGGGTTTGACTGTTCGGTGGAAAAAGTTCAGCACAGACTTTTCTTGCACAATAAGCCGAATCTTAATGGCTGTCCTTCCAAGTCCTTGAAACAGCTGCCATTTTCAAAGCCGCGAAACAAATCTTAATTCTACCCATACCCAAAGACAGTTGCTTGGTATGGCATGGTGGAGTAGTAGAATAGTATTTCTCCAAGTATCGTTCATCCTGTGATTGCTTTTAAGGGGACCTGAATGAAAGAACCGTTGCTGTATAAAGGAATAAGAGGCCAGGTCTTAGAGAAGAGGCTTTTGCAGACCCTCCTATTGTAAAAGGGCTAGTACAGGAATATTACATTGATTTATATCTTAAGCACCTGGCTTCTTGAGGTGGGGAACAAATCATCTTGAAAAACCAACAATTTGTTAGCTGTTTGGCTGTTTTATGGTTCCCTATATCACTTCTCTTGGAAACACGCAGCCAAAATTTACATTTTTCCAAGAGATAGCCTACTGGGTCTTTAGCAGGATGGATTTAGATGGGTCCTTACCGACTTCACCAATAAGTATGTCTTCATTATACTATACCATGAAGAAGAGGACATTTTTGCGGGGTACTTGTTTAATTCTCTGGGAATCTGGCAGGTTTCAGAGCAGAAACAGGACTTGCCACATGAAAAGAACTGGGAAAGTTAATAGTGTTAGTTAAAGTCTCTTGTAAATGATCTCTTGTCTGAATTTCCGAAGAGATCACTTTTGTGTTCTTGATTTTGCAAATTTGCAGAACTTGCAATCTGTGATTGCTTTATAAGGAAGAGTGCTAATGTCACTGCGTTAAATATCTGATGTACTCAAAACTAGTTCCAGGGTGAGCACAATAGTTAGTTCAATACTATACGTCACCACTGACCTAATGAGCGGGTGTTAAGTTTCAAAATTTAAAGTGCAATGTACAGCTGAAAGGAATCTGAGCCTTGTAGTATCCTCTTTAATATCTCCAGCAAGCAATGAATATTAAAGAGAAAAAAGTTTTGAACTTATTTAATGCTTCATGAAAGCAAACATCAGCAATAATCTAACTAGTGTTGTTAGTTTGCATCTTTTACTAAACTCTTGAGAAATACTCCACTCCTGTGGCTCTAATAAGAAAACAGAGCTCATGCTGCATTGTCATTCAACTTCAGGCACTTTTGCTTCCAGTCTTGTTCAGCTTCCAGTCCAATCAAAAGGTTTATATTTTAGACCAAGGAGAAGAAGTTGGGGAGCTCCAGATAATGGTTGAACCATTTCCCACCGTCTTTAATCATGCTGCCTGGTGCAGAATGAGAACTGAGAGCCCAAAACATCTGCGGAGTCACTAGTTTCCTTATGAGTTTTAGATAAGCTGAAGAATCTTTCTCCAGGTTTTGTCCCAAAACAGCATTTTTCCAAACTGGATCCTTTTCCAACTTTATTTTCTGCCCCCCCCCCCCGAACAGCTGTTTGGGAGACAGGAACACAAAATCCTCTGAGGATGCAACTGTGGGTTAGGAGATTCACCTAGAATAATATCGGGAGAAGACTTAGACTCCCTTCTTAAACTAACCAGTTTGTGGTGAATGAGACAGCAAAAGTGATTTGCTCGGGGAAGGTGATGTTCCCTGATATAGCCACTTTCCAGAATCCTAGGTTCTTTTTTTGCCTTTCTGGGAACATTAAACCTGAGATGTCAGTATAGATTTTCTGTTTGAAGTAGTAATTAAATTCAGGTGCTGGAAAAAGCCTGCCAAAAAGGGGAGGCTAGTTTTCTAAATTCTAGAATTATTTTCTTATTTTGGAACCATTCTGTACTCAGAGTACATCCATACAGCACGTTAATGCATTAGGATACTAATAATTCCAGAATCCTTTCTCCTCCAGCTCAGGAGTCTCCAAACCTGGCAACTTTAAGACCTGTGGATTGCAACTTCCAGAATTCCTCAGTCAGCCATGCTCCACATGTTGCCAAGTTTGGAGACCCCTGCTCCTTTAAAAGGGAAGTAGGCAAAAAAAAAGAATAAAGAGTTCAGAGGCTATATATAGATTGATTTCCCCCCCCCCCCCCACTCTTTGGTTTGACTAGGTTATTGGAATCTTTGAATGCTTGTGGATCACTTCCAAAGTGAATTTTCAAATTTGCTCACCTCAGCATCGAACTTGTTTGGAAAGCATATTAATTCTTAATAAGTTTTTTGTTGGTTTTTCCTTAAAAAAAGTGGCAGTTTGAAAAAAAAAGCTTCAAACATGATTTATTCTGAAGAGGTTACATTGAAATCTGTGGTATTTTTGAATAGTAAATTATAGGCTGCAGCTTTAAAGCCTGGTTTTTCATTTTCCACTGTTTCTTTAAAGTGTATTGATTCACTTCTTATATAATCCCGTTTAAATGGTGTTATCTGAGTATGCCTCTATAACATGTATGTGCAAGATAAAAGCCACTATATCCTCTAAATTTAGTTTTGAGGTTGCACAAGGGGAAATAACTACCTTCCTATAATATCTTACTACCAGATGTAATTAAGAAAATGGACAATTGTAATTGTAAATATGTAATCATGAAATCAGATATTTAATTTGTAAAGTTTATTTGTCTGTGTTTTGAAATGACAGCCAAGTTCAATCTTGCCAATATTTGTAAGTATCTGAACCAAAGTGATCAGAGTTTGCATTACAAAGAAAAGTGTGTTGGGGGGGTGGGGGATTGCACTGTATTCCAGATAAGAATCCTTTGATTCTCAAACTTGGTAGATTTTTCAACTGTGTGTATTTGTGTGGGTTTTTTTTTAATCCATTAAAGGTTTTGACCATTTAGTTCCTGCATTTTGTCAAAAATTATCCTTCCTAGGAGTTATCTGACATACAATTGTTGGAAATTTTCTTTGCAAATGATACTGTTTTCTTTAATATTACACCTGGAGTTATTATTTATAAGAGAACTATTTAGTCTTGCTCAACATTGCAGTGGTCTGTAGAACTGTCCGGTCATATTTATTTATAGTCCAACTTTATTATTTTTATAAACTGCTCAAGGTGGTGAACGGATCTAATACTCCTTCCTTCTGTTTTCCCCACAACAACAATCCTGTGAAATCAGTTGAGCCGAGAGAATGACTGGCTCAAAGTCACCCAGCTGGCTTCATGGCTAAAATGGGACTAGAACACATCATCCCCTGGTTTCTAATCTGGTATCTTAACTACTAGACCAAACTTGCTATTTCTAATCATATTTCTAAATTTCACCTGCCCAGATGTATCTCCATTTATCCATTGCTGCTCCCTAATTGAGAAGAAAGCTTCTTTTCTGTCAAATGCAAAAAGAGATGTTTCCTCTGTTAACCAGAGCTGAACATTGGGGATAACTTTCTATGGGTTAGCTCAAAAAATCAGAAAGCTGTAACATCTTTTCAGATGAATTTTATTAAAACCATTAGCTTTAGTAATGATTACTAAGTCATTAGGTGCACGGAATGGCTAAACTGATGGAGGATTTAAATTGGGACGTGAACAGTGAGATATAGCTCATGGAAAGCTTATGCCTTTTAATAAAAATTTGCTAGTCAGAAAAGATGCTGCCAGATTTCCTCTAATTTTTTATTGCTGTAGAGACAGCAATCCCCTCCCAGAGTGAGTTATTTCAATAGCTTTGGCTGAAGTAAATTATCCTTTTTTTCTGAACACTGGTGGCATTATTCCCAGGTTTTTATGATAAAATTGCTGCTTGTTCTGAGAATACACTGTCAGCTAGAAGGATCAAAATTCACTTGACTGATGAAGTCAGAACTGATCTAAGAAAAGAAAATACCCTATTTTTCGGAGTATCAGATGCTCTGGACTATAAGACACACCTACATTTTTTGGGGAGGAAAACAAGAAAAAAAATCTGCGTCTCAGCAATTGCCTCCCAGCAATTTGCCTCGTTGCAGCAAACAGCCTGCTTTAATTTCATTTTCATTTTCAGCACAGCCTGATTAGCCTGATTAGCACAAGAAAAAAAATCCCTCCCAGCAATTTACCTCCTTGAAGTAAACAGGTGGCCCACACGGCAATAGGCAAATGGAATGAAGCCTGAAACAGCTGAGGGTCGGGAGGCCGATCTCAACTGACAATCAACTGCTTGTGCTAATCAGGCTGCGCTGAAGCTGAAACGGGCTGTTTGCAGTTTGCTGCTTGCTGCAAGGTGATAAATTGCTGGGAGGCAGAGGCCAATGGTTGGGGGCCAACGGGTAGGTGGGGCTACATTTGGTGTAGAAAACACCCAAATTTTCACCCTCTTTTAGTGGGGGGAAAAGTGTGTTTTATATTCTGAAAAATACGGTAATATTGCTAATATTTAGAAGCCTTCATAGCGTTGGAAGCTGAGAGGTACAAAAAGCAAAACTAAATTAAAAGTAAAGCACCAGATGAATTCCAATATATTAACAGATGGCAAGAGGATCTAGTAATCACTTCTAAATCATTTGGCTCAGTGGTGAAATGTAAAATTTGTTACTATCGGTTCTGTGGGCGTGGCTTGATGGTGGGAGTGACGGCAGGCGTGGCCAATTTTTTTTTTTTTTTTGACTTTTAAAAGCATTTTTTCTACAACCTTAAGAGGTTGCAGAAAAAATGCTTTTAAAAGCCTCTGATGATCAGGCAAGTCAGCTGGGATTGCTGCTAAAGGATCTGCTGGCTGCCAGAAGAAAAAAAGCCCAGAAACTAGTGAATTGTGATTTCACTGAACTAGGGCTGCATAATATCTTGGTTTATGTAGGTAGAACCTGGCTAAAGAGAAATACACACACACACACACACACACACACAGAGAGAGAGAGAGATACATGTGTATACACAAATGCATTATGTATATATATATATATATATATATAGCTAAAAAAAATAAAGGGAACACAAGCAGAAGACATCCGAGATCTGAATGAATGAAACAGCCTTATTAAATACTTCATTCGTTACATACAGTAGTTTATACATTGCTCAAACAACTAAAGGGAACACAAAACTACTGTATGTAACGAACAAAGTATTTAATAAGAATTATTAAATATATATATATATATACACACACACACATACATACGCACATACACACAAAGATATATACACACACATATATACACACACATACAATACATATACACACATATATTAATCAGACGATTTACAATACATAGTGGAAAAAAGAGTTGAGAGTTAACAAGATTGATACTATATGGTACAAAGCTAGCACAGAATCTAGTTCTGCTTCAGGTATCGCAAGCCCCCACCCAGAAGGAAGGAAGGAAAACAAGTTATGGAAAGGATGTGTAGCATCACAGACAATATTGTGGACCCTGGTCAAGCACGTTTATTTGCCATGTCCTGGACAGAAGGAAGTGAACTTCCAATAATCTTTTCTGCCATCCTCACCACTATCTGCACTGCCTTCCTAATAACTCCCAGCCATACAATACAAGAAGATGCTTTCAGTTGTCTCTCTATAGAAAGTGGTAATGACAACGGGGAGAGAAAATGTGCTTTTCTTATACGACACAGAAAATGCAGGTGCTGCTGTGCCCACTTCAACAGTGTCTCTGTATTATTTTTTTGTTAATATATGTTTTATTGGTACATTTTTTCTTTAAAAACATAAAAAATTCCATGTCTATCTGAACAGCATGTTGTCTGGGCATAATTTTGAGTAAAGGTACAACAATAACCATAATCATACTTGTAATCTTAATAAACATATCAATATTAATCATAAAATAATAAAACAATTAGTTTGTCCATCTTACAATATTTTCAATACAATTTTTTGTTATCTCTTTGAATTCTTTTTAAATTCTAACCTCTTTAGTTAACCATTGATAAAATATATCCCATGTTAAACAGTATTCTGTTTCTTCCTTTTCTTTTATCTTAAGTGTCAATCTATCCATCTCAGCACATTCTAATGTTTGGGCATGTCCACCACATATGATAATGTGAACCTGGTATCTGATTATACTTCCAACATTTATCTGATAAGTCTTCAAACATCTTTGCTAGCCTCTCTGGTGGTAAATGCCATCTATAAAACATTTTTTATACAGTAGATTTTTCTTATGGGCCGTTGACATTGTTAATTTACAGTTTCTATCCCACAATTTCTGCCATTTGTCTAGTTCTATTGAGTGACCAAAGTTTTTAGCCCATCTTATCATTGTTTCTTTCACTTGCTCTTCTTCCATTTTAATACTCAGCAAGTAGCTATAATTTTTTTAAAATTAATTTTTCATCTGTCCCTAGTAATATCTGGTCTAGTTCTGCTTGTTCTTTATAGAAACCGTACATTCTTGCATCTTTCTCATGTCTTGATTCTATTTGCACATATGGCCACTATGCTGGATTGATCCCTTGATTAATCAGTTCTTGTTTGGATTTAAGTTCTCCTTTATCATTCAAAATGTCCTTATACCTTACAATTTCTTCCATTTTAATCACATTCGGATGAATCAGTGCCTCCATCATGGAGAGCCAGACTGGTATTTTTATATAGTGTCTTTCTTTAATTTCCCCCCCATACCAGTGGTGGGTTCCTCCCAGTTCGGTCCGGTTCGGCCGAGCCGGTAGCGGTGACAATATGATGTCACCGAACCGGTTCTCCCCCCCCGCCCTCCCCCCCCCTACCCACCCATGTTATTCTTACCTTTTATTTGGTCCCACCCCAATCTATTGCTGCCTCCTGAGTCCCAGCTGATGACTAGAGGGAAAAAAACTGTTTAAACTCTTGCCACAGGGCTTCAAAGGGCCGTCCTACAGCTGATCAGTGTTAAAAGCAAACAAATGAATTGGGTCGTAAATGCGAGGACTGGTCGTAAGTGCGAGGACCTTCCAGAAATGATTCTGACCAGCTAACCACGCCCACCTAGTCACATGACCTCCAAGCCACACCCACAAAATAAGCCACGCCCACAGAACCGGTAGTAAAATAATTTAGAACCCACCCCTGCCCCATACTAACAGTAGTGCATTTCTAACAAGGTGCCTTTGAAAATATCCATGTATTTTATTTTTCCCATAACATAAGAAGGCATGTCACCCCAGTTGGAGATCATGTCCTTCCAAAGTTAATAGTCTTTTATTATGCCTCAAGTTTACCCATTCTTTCACCCAGAAAAGTGCAGAGGCCTGATAATATAGCTTCCAGTCTGGCAAGCTAAGGCCCCTTTTCAGTTTAGTATCTTGTAGCAGTTTCAATCTTATTCTTGCTTTTTTCCCTTGCCAAATATACTTCAGTATCATTTTGTTTAGTTCTTCAAAAAAAAAATTTTTTTCTAATTCTATCGGAATTGTTTGGAATAACAGTCTCCGCAAAATGTTCATTTATATTGTAGCTATTCTTCCTATCAATGATAGCTGCAGGTTTTTCCATTTCTCCAAATCTAATTTAATTTATTGTAATAGTTTCATATAATTATCTTCTTTTATAGTTGCACATCTTGCTGTTAGCTTAACTCCTAAGTCTTTAATTTTCTTAACTATTTTAATATTTTATCTTTTCCGCTAACTTTTTTTTTGTTTCTCTGTGATGTTTTTAACTAGTATTTTAGTTTTCTCTTTATTCAGTCTCGTAACTTCACCATATACTGCTATTATTTTTATTAACTTGAGTCCAGATGCTTGTGGTTCTTCTAAAATAAATACCAGGTCATCTGCAAATGCCTGTAACTTATATTCTTCTGTTTTTATTTCCATTCCTTTTATTTCTGAGTCTTGTCCAATGTTTCTATTAAGTACTTCCAATTTTAATATAAATAATAGAGGAGACAATGGACATCCTTTTCTAGTGCCTT